TAGGAAAAAGAGGCTACAATTTGCAAGAGCTCACCAAAATGTTGCCTGGTCTGATGAGTCTCGATTTCTGTTGAGACATTCAGATGGTAGAGTCAGAATTTGGCGTAAACAGAATGAGAACATGGATCCATCATGCCTTGTTACCACTGTGCAGGCTGGTGGTGGTGGTGTAATGGTGTGGGGGATGTTTTCTTGGCACACTTTATGCCCCTTAGTGCCAATTGGGCATCGTTTAAATGCCACGGCCTATCTGAGCATTGTTTCTGACCATGTCCATGCCTTTATGGCCACCATGTACCCATCCTCTGATGGCTCCTTCCAGCAGGATAATGCATCTTGTCACAAAGCTCCAATCATTTCAAATTGGTTTCTTGAACATGACAATGAGTTCACTGTACTAAAATGGCCCCCACAGTCACCAGATCTCAACCCAATAGAGCATCTTTGGGATGTGGTGGAACGCGAGCTTCGTGCCCTGGTTGTGCATCCCACAAATCTCCATCAACTGCAAGATGCTATCCTATCAATATGGGCCAACATTTCTAAAGAATGCTTTCAGCAACTTGTTGAATCAATGCCACGTATAATTAAGGCAGTTCTGAAGGCGAAAGGGGGTCAAACACAGTATTAGTATGGTGTTCCGAATAATCCTTTAGGTGAGTGTATATTCGTTCAACATCAGCACAGCTTCAGAGTAAAACTGAATCTAAAACTTCTATACAGTTTGTGCCATTAAGGCAACAAACGTCATGTTCCTGATTAAATGAATATGTTTTGTTATGGTCTCCACAGGAATTAAGGGGAATCACTAAGGGGTCTCAGCTGGTAAGCCCATTCCCATTTGCTCTTTATAAATAATCTCCTTTTCCTCAGGGGTGTCGTACCCTGTTTAGTTGCATCAGGTTGTGGAGAGGATGCCAAAAGAGGATCTACCCATCATTGAGAAATCACCTCATGCACATCAGGGGCCGTATTCACAAAGAATTTTAAGGCTAAAAGTAGCTCCTAACTGGCGAATTTAGGAGCAACTCCTAAAAATAATGGGCGTGTCACTCCTAACTTTAGGACTCCTAATTTTTTTCACTAAGAGTAATTCACGAAGCATTTTAGCCCTAAAAGTAGCACCTAAGTCTGGGACAGCTTAAAAGAAGTCGAGAGGACTCCTAACTCACTAAGACCATTCACAAAGGATTGTAGCGCATACCACCGCCTCTCGCAGTCGTCCGGGGTCCGCGACACAAGCGGGAATGCTGCATTGATCTGCAAACAAATCCTCTCCCATTCTCACGCTTAGTTTTGCTTGATATCCCAGTGCCGAATTTCCCTTTTATTAGGTTTTTGGGCCAGCAGCAGTAACTGATCCTGCGTCCAGTTGGGCTTTCTTTTCCGTTTTGGCGAGTTCATAATCCACCGTCATTCAACTATTATGGTGTGTTCACACCGAACGCGAAATTAATTATTTGCGCGAGTAGATTACATACAAAGTCAATGCAAAGACGCAAATAGACGCATCATTCTCGCCGGGCGTTGCGAACGACGCGAATTGGGCGACACGTTTGCCGCGAATGTCTTCCGCGCAAGTTGACAAATTTGAACTAGACGCGATAGACGCGTATTTGACGCTCTATTCGCATTCGGTGTGAACACACCATTACATTACTTCAATTGGAGCAACATTTCATTGCTTTAAGTAGTCTATTTAGGTTATAATGATCTAAATTAACCAAGCAAGTGTTAATGCAAGCGTCGTTTTTCATTATTAGGCAAGTGGCGGTTTTCATTGGGGTATTAGGCTACCTTGATTTAATTTAATTGAATTCACGACTCTCTCTCTCTCTCTCTCTCTCTCTCTCTCTCTCTCTCTCTCTCTCTCTCTCTCTCTCTCTCTCTCTCTCTCTCTCTCTCTCTCTCTCTCTCTCTCTCTGCCTTTTTAGAATTACACTTCACTGGGGCCTCCACAAACATGTCATTATATCTGCATTTCGATGACATTACTTTTATTATTTTGTGTAGGACATGATTTGTTGCGTCTGTGTTATGCTCCGCATGATGGCCCTGTCATCTAACAACCAATCACCGTGATCATTGCGAGGAAGCTCGTGCATGAGAAGTGACGTCATCTATAGCAACGAAGACTCACTCTTAGTTTAGGAGTTGTCATTTTTCCTTACTAAGAGTGGGTCTGAAAGGCGTTGTGAATAACTTTTAAGAGAAAACTCCTAGCTAAAATATTTTAGTGCGATTTAGGAGTACTCCTAGTGGTAAGATAAAATTCTTTGTGAATACGGCCCCAGATCTTACCCATTACAAAATCTTTGACAGTTTTCTTCAACAGAGTCGAGTATTTTCTGGAGCTTAGGGGAAGTGCATTCAAGAATAGTGTTCAATTCAATGCCTAATAGTGTTAAACAGGGAGATAGGTCAATAGGAATTATATTTAATCAATAAAATCCAGTAGACAGCTTCAAAGCAGCAACATAGCAATGCTGAGATTATACTCAGTGAATTTAGATATCACAACCGTCCATTCAGTCTAATGTTCTGCTACCTCTGAAACCAGCGCCATCGGGCCTGTATCATTGTGGAGACTAAGAGGAGACAAATAAGTTACGTTTTACAGAGCAAGGCTGGGATCCATTTGATTGAAACAAAAATGTATTGCTTAAGGTCTGTAATATGACCTCACGTTTCTGCATCAATAGATTATTTATTATTTTTACAGTCTCGTCTCTCTTAAATGCATTAAATGTATACAATCTGAAATGTAGAATTTTTTTAAATGCTTAGCATCCCTTTAACGTCTCTGTATGATTTTCAACTGAAACACTGTGCTTTACTATAAATATCTTGTTATCACTTATGACACAAGCTCAGATAGCAGTATTTAGATGACTTTGAATGTGAGAGAGACTCTGAGGTATTCAGGACTCATACACTGCATTTTCACTAACTTGTAACATCAGACCTTATCAACTTTTTGACTCTAGACCTGACATGCATTTTCAAATAAACATCTTTGTTTATATTAGTCACTTTACATATTTTTGCAGCTCATGTTTCTTCTTTTGGCATCATTGTCTATAAGATTTACACTGTCTGCCCTTGACAGCTGGGCCTTTTGACCCCTAATAGAGTATGTAAACTTTACATGGTGTGTCATGTTGCAGTGTATGCAATGTGACTTTCTTACCTACCCAGTCCTCATAACATATAATTATGTAATGCTGCAGTGTATGTAACGTGACTTTCTTACCTATCCAGTCCTTGTAACTTATTTTGTCAAAAATAAGTTACATTACAGTGGAGAGAAACAAATATACAGGAAGACTATGAACCAGGGGCATAGCCATCATATGATCTCAAGCCATCCAGACTCATCATACCAGTATCTGGTTGAGTAATCATTACATTTGGCTCCTTCATTCACTGTTGTCTGTCAGTATCGCTAAAGTTTTTATTGCAAACCTCACGTGTTGAGCTGTGCTTCATTATAGACTTTGCTCTCAAACTGTGTCATGTTTACAGCACAAGAACTGGTTAATGGACTTAAATGGAGAAAAATCGATCATAACTTCGGCAAACTATGGAGTGCCGCAGGGATCCGTGTTAGGCCCTTTATTATTCTCAATATATATGCTGCCACTTGGTAATATTCTAAGGAAACATGGAATTATTTTCCATTGTTATGCCAATGACACTCAAATATATATTTCATCACGGCCAGATGAATACGCTAAATTATCCAAATTGACAAATTGTGTTAAAGGTATAAAAGATTGGATGACGCGTAATTTTCTTTTATTAAATCCAGACAAGACAGAGGTAATACTTATCGGTTCTAAAAACCGTCCACAAAACCTTTCACAGCACGACTTTAACATAGTAGGATGCCCTGTTAGTTTATCCGCTACAGTAAAAGACCTGGGTGTTACATTAGACTGCAACCTGTCTTTTGAAAAGCATATTTCATATGTTACAAAAACAGCCTTTTCCACCTTAGAAACATTGCTACGTTACGTAATATTCTATCAGTCTCTGATGCAGAAAAGTTAGTTCATGCATTCATGACCTCGAGACTAGATTACTGTAATGCTTTATTAGCTGGTTGTCCTGCATCCTCAATAAACAAGCTACAGTTAGTCCAAAATGCAGCCGCTAGAGTTCTTACTAGATGAAGAAAATATGATCATATAACACCGATTCTATCATCACTTCATTGGTTACCTATAAAGTTCCGTATTAATTACAAGGTATTGCTTTTGACTTATAAAGCTCTAAATGGTTTAGCTCCAGTCTATTTAACGGATATTCTATCGCCCTATAATCCATCGCGCTCTTTAAGATCATTAATTCGAGGCTTCTGGTCATTCCTAGGATATCCAGATCCACCAAAGGAGGGAGAGCATTTTCACATTTAGCTCCGAAGCTCTGGAATAGCCTTCCTGATATTGTTCGAGGCTCAGACTCGCTCTCCCAGTTTAAAACTAGACTAAAGACGCATCTATTTAGCCAGGCATTCATATAATTTTTTATCTTACAGTTACTGTAAATTCGGCCTCTACTTCATAAACGCCAGAGGAGAACAGGCCCCGACTGAGCCTGGGTTCTCCCAAGGTTTTTTTTTCTCCATTGGGTCATCTGATGGAGTTTTAGGACACCGTCGGGTCACTTGATGGAATTTTTCGGTTCCTTGCCACTGTTGCCTTTGGCTTGCTCAGTTGGGGATATTCAATAATAAAATTACTGGTTTTCCAGTAATAAACAAGCTGTTAAGTTGTTTTGATTGATACTGTGAAGCAGCTTTGATACAATCTGTATTGTGAAAAGCGCTATATAAATATATTTGACTTGACTTGACTTGGTTAAAAACTACGACCACTAACTGAGGTCAAGTATTTATTCCTCTTTTTATTTGCTTTGCGATTGATTCTGATCTTTTCGTTTAATTGCACTTGATAAACAAAGAAATACAGAAAATAAGAAGTGAACAAATATTGTAAAGCTCTGTGATGCTCTATTCAGCCTGTCATCTGTCCATTACTTAAAGGTTTTCATAATGTACAGGCCAGCCGCCTACACACCCCAACACTATATATCGAGTGGACAACCTCCCTCTGCGATATGTACAGTTTGGGGGTCTCTTCCCAGTTTGAAATCTACACGTGACCACAGGAAAAGGCTGGCCGCTCTTAAACAGGTTTCTGTCTTTGTTCAGTTGATTCTTTTTATCACAAACTGCTTTAAGCTGGTTTTCATTTGCTTGTATGAAGGTGTTGACAGGTTTGCAGCCATTGTCCGTTCCAGTGATGTTTCTCTTTCTCATTTCACTGGTACACTTCTGCACATTCATATCAGGACCCAAATGCTGATTGAGGAATTTTTGATACCGGGGCTTTATATGTGGTGGTTGATTATGAGTGGAGAACGACACACACAAGACCAGCAGCAGAATCACAGCAGACTGATGAATCTCCATGACCTGCTGAACAACACACACATCAACACACCTTTACTGACATTTAACTTAATAAAGCAGTTTGGTTGTTAAAATATTAAGATAAATTAAATTAAGAGCTGATATATATATATATATATATATATATATATATATATATATATATATATATATATATATATATATATATATATATATATATATATATGTGAATAAAAACAATTTCTTGATATACGTATATTTGAATTTGGAGGTTGGGTTTACTTTATTTACATTTATGAATATGTGTCAAAGATAGCCTACTTGAACTTGTAATACAAACTTTGTATTATTATTATTACTGGATTCAAGGAGTTTATGTGGTTGAAATTAATAAAAGTAACAAATCCTTCCCTTGCGGGTCAATTTGAACCCCATTGGAGTTTTTTTGTTATTATTATTATTATTTTTTTTTGTCAAAAACTATAGCCTATTAAAAATCTGGCACAATCTAGAACAAACACACACACACAAATGAAGGCATGATATAGAACATCCCCAATGCAGAACCCACTCACACACAAACACCTAGGAATCAACATTAAAAAAATAATGGGGGGTCATAAAATATAATATTTCCAATAAAAATAAATCACTCATAATTATGGCTGCACGATTAATCGTAATAAAACGGCACAAGATTTGGCAAAGGCTGCGATTATTTTATGCACAGTTTGTCAGTGCAGTGATCGGTATGGTGTTTCATCTGAACACCAGAGAGCGCTCTCACACACACGCTAAAAATGCCCCGCATACAGAAGTACAGTAATGCGCATCATTCCAGGAAATCCCCATCGCTATAGCTGAATAAACAGAAGATTGAAACGCTTTCATTGATTATACATGACTTATAAATACACGACTGCCTTATTCTGTGTTAGAAGCCACATCATCTCATTTTCAAATGCACATAGCCTAAGTGACTCAAACTCACAGAGCTTTTAGATGGAGCAGTTTACAGAGCCGTAGCCTACATCAATGACAAGCTGCGCATACAAAATAATCGCAGCCTTTGCAATATCATAATCGCGATAAACCATCTTGATTTAAGTCTATGTTGACGAAACAGCGAATCTAATTCGCACCGATTCACACAGACACGCAGATTCTACATTTAATATAGGCTACAACCGCCACCCGCCCGAATTTAATTAAAATATTATTTTTCGTCACGTCATGCGCCCGATCCACGGTTTATCCGTGCAGTCTGCGGCTGTAACCGCCAAACGCGCATAGTGTGTGATCGGCTCTGCCCTTTGAAGGGGGTGGATTCAATGTATATGTAATGAATGATTTAATCAAGGCATTAATCAATATTTTTCCTTCTAATATTAAATGAGTTGAATGACTTCTCTGAAGATTTTACTTTGTTTTAGAAGTTACCAGTGTGATTACTGAAATGTTATTTTCATGTATTCTCTAATGTCTGTATTTGATATATGAATGCAGTAACAGCTTGCTTATTTAGCCTGGCTTCCAGAAATAAAATATGGACTTGTTTTGTGTTTGAGAAAGGTCTTCAACATGTGAAAACATATAGGGGTCATTGAAGCCAATAGTTTAAGGGACCATCTCTTTGTTAAAGCCTTACTTTCCAGTTCGACTAAAGTTTAGCTCTCCTTGAGAGAAAGAACACATTATCTTGATGTTGTGAGACGACTCTACTGTTTATTGTTAGAGCCTGTCCAAATCCAACCTTGGAAAAGCTGTGTGTCGGTGTGTGTGTTAGTCTTCTGGGTTGCAGGTTAAGGAACAACTGCATTATTGGAGATTGACTGAGTTGTTGTTCTGGACATGTTGGCGTCCAGAAACCCAAATCTGCGACCTGGAAGGTCATGACGTGCCTAACTTCAGGGTCTGAGTGTCAGCTGCATAATCCATGGAGATATGCTTCAGTCTATCTGTATATGTGTGGAAAATTACTATGTTTATCTATTTCTTAGCCAATGAGAATCATTCAACCTGTAAGCAATGACGTAGCTTAGACCTTGGAAATGGTATAACTGCTGTGATCTGTGTAACTGTAAGCGGGGCAGCCTATGAACTCCTGTGTGAGTCTTGAAGCTGACTTCTGCTGATGAAACTGCAAACTATCTGCAGTAAAACTTTTCAATATTTTTTATAATTCTGACTCGGGGTCTTCTTTCAAATATCTGGTTCTGGGTCTTTGACTGTGATACCCATTACACCTTCGAAGGGAGTGGGGCATAGGGATGCCCACAGGTATTAAACATGTCCCAGCCGGGTTCGTCACTTATTGGCGTCCCCTGGAAACATTCCCGTTGTGTTCTGTGCTATTTGCAGTGTTTCTGTATTTGGTTGTGTTTTGAGTATTTGGAGCACACGTGTGTTGTGAAACTGATGAAGATGTTTTCTTAATTTGCGGGTGTTTTTCTATTTGCATCTGTTTTCTTCAGTTGCAGCGGGTTCAGCTTTCTAGGCCACCATACAAATAGCTTAAAATCGATCTTGATGAGTTTAAATGTCATGTGATATTAACAGGTGACATTGACCTACACCACTGGTACGCACCACCATCTACTGGTTGAATAATCATTACATTTAACTCCATTCATTCACTGTTGTCCGTCAGTATCACCGGAGTTTTTATTGTGTAGCGGGACCTCACTCTTCCACGTGAGGAGCAACTATAGAAACGCCACCACTAGCTTAGGAATGACTACGCCACCCTGTTTATCAGGGAAATATTAATCCTAAAGATTTAATGTTTTACACAAAAGACACACAGGAACGTGATTGTCAAAGGAGGGCCGGAGACGTGGATACTAAATATACAAAAAGTTTATTCTAATACTCGCAAACATTTAAAAAAAGACATTAAGAAAGAACTGGGTCATCAGCATTCACAATAAAGAGACCAAGAGATAACGGAGACCGAGGCCCAAGGGCAGATACACAAATTTCAGTGCACACAAGGCTTCTATATCACTCTCAACACCCCGTGTACAAGCATCAACACACACTGCAATCCAGTCTAGCACAGCACTCTGTGACGAGCCCACCACCGCACGTAAGGGCCTACTAGTGGCCTGCCCTGCAGCCTCGGCTCCTGTAACGAGAGTAAAAATTACTACAGGTCTCAACACACAAGACATTTACTCCTAACATGCACACATAATAAACATTTAGACAAATAAACAAAAAAAACATATTACAAAAAAATGAAAATCAAGGTTTGATGTCACCACTGGGTTTCTATTAACCACCCTGACCTTCTACCAGCACATTTGAGGGAACTCAGACCTCAAAACAAATACAATTCTGCAAAACACTGACAAAGCAAAACAATCAGAACATTCAGTTAAGAAACCAATGACAATTGAAGATACACAAAAAAATAAAGATAACAAACAAACAAAAACACAATTTGAAAGACTAGTTAGTAAAAGAACGCCCAGCGAGCACAGTGACACGTACTGGAAAACAAGCTGTTTGTTATTGTAAACAATCTGAAGGTATAAGCAGCAGCGTCAAACAGCGTTGCCCACCAGGCGCCGCAGAGCCTCTATTACTCCTAAAATACAAACAAACATATTTGCTATATATGACATAATGGGCGCTGCACAAGATGGACGTTTCAAGTACCTTTAATTCATAAACCGTCGCCCATCCACGCCACGCCGAACATCACCATCAACCAAAGAATGGGAATGCGAGAGGGACATGCAAAGTTAGAGCGGCCGTAAAGCAAAAAGGCAGTAACTACGCAGAGTGCAGAACTGAGAAAAATTACTTTAAAGTTATCTTGTCATCCAGCCTAAGTATTTGTAGGTAGATTATTGGACATGTGGCTGTTTTGTTACTTTATATTAGCTTATTATTTTGTACATATCAATCCTCATTTTTAATTTGATATTTTACCCCTATTTTGCAGTTACTGTATGTTGTGTTTTATAATGATCACAGTGACACAGGGAGTAGCATCAACTTATCAACACTTTTACTTCCATATCACTGTCTGTTTAGACCCAAGTAAGTGAACACCTCGATTCGTCAGACATAACCGAATGATTCAGCACAGTCAAACTCTATGCATCACTGAACACTAACTCAATGCATTTATAAACCCCACTTGAGAGAACAAAACATTCCCCCCCCCCCTCCTAGAGGTTTTCAGACATGAAATGTTGACACAAAGTCCTGTAGGTGCCCCGGCCGAGAACGAGTGCGAACAGGCCGCGGTGAAAAACGAGGATGAGGCTGGGCAGCCTGTGATGGACAAGCACACATCTCAGCTGGGAGGTTGATAGGGATGCCTGGAGCCTGTGCAGGAGCTATCTGAGGTCTTGGCTGACACGCCGGGTTATCCTGCCTGCCAAGCTGAGGGTGTGGCTTGAGATGTGACACCTGTCGTATGTGCCGGGGCCCGTACTTTCCGGAGACGGCTTGCATGCCACCGCGTGCCATCACTGAGCAAGAAGGTGGCCGGGCCCAGCTGATGACTAACTTTGAGAGGGGAAGACCAGTACGAAGCGAGTTTGTGGTCTCTGTGGGACCTGCGAACCCTGACCCAATCTGCGGCCTGTATGTCAGGGGCCTTTGCGTGTGCTGAGAGATCGAATTTCTGCTTCATCCGCCTCTGCTGGCGTTCAACTGAGGCCCTGACCTGTGGTAGGGGGCCCTGAGGCAGTGCTGGGCTGAGCCTGTCGAGGGGAAGGTGGAGCTAACGGCCAAGCATGAGGAAAGCTGGAGAGACCCCCGTTGTAGAGTTTTGGGTGGCCCTGTAGTGCAGCAGTGTGTGGCGGATGGACTGTGAGAAGGTCCATCCCTGGAACAGGTGTGCTCTGAGGCTGTTTTTCAGGGACTGGTGAAAGCGTTCAACACCACCGTTAGCTTGGGGATGATAGTATGCCGTGCGGATGTGGCGAATACCCTTGCTTTTGAGGTATGTGGTGAACTCGGCCGAGATCAGTTGCGGCCCATTGTCCGTAGTGATAGTATTTGGGAGGCCCCAGCGGGAGAAC